CAGTAATATTATGGAGATTAAACACACACACACACATACTTCAACTTTACTATGTTCTTTATACATTATGCATTCAGGGCCAAATCCAAGTTCTGTTGGATCTTAAGCTTTTATAATTTTGGGAGCCCACTTCAAAACAGAATATAAAATTGCCAATGCAGAATTACTAGTACCACTCCCAGGCCCTTAGAAGTGCAAGTGAGGTATCTTGAAGCATAAGCTTCATTACCATCCTGGTAGATGTGTTCCTATATGTGTTTGTGCTAAGGGAGGGAGGCTGGCTAGCCTGAAGTTCTTGGGTTGAGAATTCCAGGACTAGGATGGTATGGCCTTCAAAGAGGGAAAAGAGTGAGAAAAAAGGAAGCCCCATGGCTAACTTCAGAAATTCATCTGACTTTTGGTTTTAATTTCCCTGTTTTAGGTCTCTTTATAAAACAATTGTCTTTTTTTAGAGTAACATTCCAGTTTTCAATAGCGACAAGACCCATGTTCAGCTGGGATCAGATTTCCAGGGCCCCATTTTAGAAACAAGCATAGCTCAAATCATGCCGAGCTTAAGAGCATTCCATGACAAGTGACAGAAGCTTTGCAAACTATGGTCAGAAGGCACATTTCATGACCTTTAGCCTGAGAAACATCAGGTGTTTTTTTTTTGCTTTGTCCCCAGAAGATTGACACATAGGAAAAATCCAAAGAATCAGCGGCAAGAGTGTTGGGGACTGCGGCAGAAATCCTACAGTTTCAAAGTTGTCTCCAAAAAGAAGAATGAAAACCATAAGAAGGTCCTTTAGCCCAATGGTTCCCAAAGGAGGTTCCTCCCTCAAAGAGGAATCCTGAGACTTTTAACGATAGGCTGCCCCAGCCACTCACATGTATACTGGGAGATATTGGACCCTGAGTATTTACAATCACAAATGTGCAAAGTATCTTGTCAAGAAGATTGCTATGTAACCTAATTCTGCTATTCCCACTAAGGATCAGTAATGTAGGCTGCAAACTTGTCCTAACAGAAGTTTAAAAGACATTCATTTTCATACCCAAGGTGTCAGAATGGAGGAAAAACAATAAATGGCAGACCATTTTGTGTGTTTAAATGCTTAACAGATGTGTAATAAAGCATTTTATGAGATTCATTTTTAGTGTCAATTAAGATATATATTGCCAGTTATAAATGTATAAATGAAAAAAGAAGAAAAAGCAGCCTAGAATCTTTTAAATCTGTATTTTTCATAACACACACATGCTCTTACAGTATAATTTCTCCAGATTACGGCAATTAGCAATTTACATGAAAAAACAAATATGCAATACTTTGTATACAAAGATGAAAGCATTGCTGGCTGGCCAGAGGTGAGGTGCTATCAACGGCCAAAGAGTAGAGAGATGCACACTAGCCCTCTGGAGGATCAAACCCATACCCTTGGCACCATGTCTGTAGTACTCTTACCAACTGAGCTAACTGGCTGTAACCTTGCCATTTAGCGTCTCAGGTCTGCTAAGCACGATTGCTCACAAACACAGCCTCCTTCAAGTCTCCACTGAATAAGGTTTCTTTTCAGCCAAAAAACTCTCTAGAAGGAATAGGAATGGATTTTAATATTTTTTTCTCTGGAAGCTTCTTAAGCCTTGAAATCCATGATTTTTCCCTGTGAGGTGATCCACTTGGTACTCTCTGCACAGGCAAGTCACTGGCTACTCTTGGGCTATAGCTGGGTTCCATTACTTCTTATAAAGCCCTTGTTATTTCTGTTAGGAGGGCTTGTAGGCCGAAAGCGGGGAAAGGGGAACTGGATATTCAGGGGCCTAGCTAATGTCATCTGATCTCACTTACCCTGAAGCTTTTTTGAATTTGGCTCCTCTTCACACAGTCTCAAAATATGCACCAGCCCTTCAACAGTCATTGACAAGTGGGTTCTGGAGTCAGACTGCCTGAATTGGAAGCCAGGCTCCTCCAATTACTAGCTGTGAGGCTTTAGGAAAGTTACTTCATCTCTCTGTGCCTCAACTTCCTTGCCTATAAAACAGAGATAATTTAAAAGCTGGAAGAATTTTTGACAAAATTAAATGAGATAATTATATACAAAACACTTCGTCCAGAACATATAGCAAGTACTCAATAAATTTTAGCTATTAATAAAATAACAACAATCAAAAGTTACAAAGTGCACAGGGCCTTAAGATAACAGAATGGATTGGAGGAGAAATGGATGGAATAAATATGGGACATAAAGTGTTGGCAAAGAAATTATTTCTGTGTAAAATACAATCTGACAAGTTCCTAGACTCTGAATTGACTAGGGTTATTTTTACACAGTTTGAGGTCAGGAAATAAAGAGAGAAAAAACACTTTGGAAGGGAGAAGGGGAAGTGATGGTTGTGGGGTGAGGGGAAAAGAAGTCCTGAAGTTGGAAAACAAGTGCCCTACTTCAGGGTTTGTCTCAGCCCCATGTTTGGGGGCCATCTATTTGCCTTCTGGTCGGCTAGCTGGGCTGACCTTCCCCAAGCTGGCCACAAAAATCCCCATAATGGCAGCTTACAAGGCAAAGTTTCCACACTCTTCCATGACTCTTTTTTCCTTGAAAATAATAATAACTTTAAAAATGTGTAGGTTGTCTGTCAAGTTCTGATCAAACACCTAGCTTCCCCTCCCCCTACCACAGGGGTTCCACCCGGCGATGCGGCTAATCCCCATGGAGTCAAGAAGCCGCTAGCCTCCCACGGAGCCTTGCAACTAGAGAGCCCAACGTTCTAGCCTGGATTCTTTTGCCTGGTCTGGACTTGTCCCCTTAGACAGGCTAAAACACTCTCTGCCATCGGGGGCCACGGGGCATTTCCCCACACCCTACCGTCAGCAAACTGCATTGTTAAAAAAAAAAGTCTCAACACTTCTTCCCTTTAGCAAAGATTCTCTTCAGATTTCCTTTAAATGTTGTATTTCTTGACTCTCTTGATTTCTAAAAACTAGATATGTATTAAAAAGTGTAACTTTCTATTAATTAGCTCACCTGCCCAGCTGTAGCTATGAAATGTTATTTTCAGATTAATATTTAGCAAGATCTAGAAGAGTTTTTCTGATCATTCAGGAATGCTTAAACTGTGTTTTAAAAAGGCAAGATTTTGTGCGGTGGAGTTGTCAAGATTTGAATTCTTGGAAAATAAAATTTGCTTGGTTTACATCATATTTGAATTAACACGAAAATTCGATCCAGAACATCTGAGTCTCTTTTCGGGGGGAGGCGGTAGTTGGTTTTCCCGCACCCGTTCACAGAGAATTTTCTTTATTTAGCGAGACCGGGTTCCTCAGACTGTGGCGATTACAGAACTCACTGAGGCTCGGAGGTTAAGGAATATAAAGGGGTCAAACTCGGAAGTTGAAACAGACACGAAATAAACAAAATCCACCAATATATAAAGAAAATAATAACAAAAGTTAGAAGCCTGGGTCACAAACGGTGAGCTCCAGGTCTGTGGGAAGAATTATTCCTGTAAATCTTCCTAGAGGAGGTAGAAATTTTTTACTTAAAAAAGAAAGAAACCGGAAACAACCCCCCACATCGCGTTCTGACTCCGGAGTGCGGGTGCGCGACTGCAGTCGATGAGCTCCAGGGAAAGTAAGCAGCTTTGGGACGTTTTCTAAAGTGTTCTTTGCAGTGCAAGAGCTTAGAATGCGGTTAGTTGTACACACCAACTCCCTTTCCCATAAACTCTTCAAGAGGCGCCTTACCTCTCAAGGTTAAATCGCCTCTGTCAGATTCTTTTAAACCGTGTATCGGACCTCCTGCGCTTTGTGGGGAAACGGAGGCGAACAGCCTGGGCACCCGGAAATGTTCTGCAACAAAGGAGCGAATGAATGAAACCCGGCCCAAGAGCTGGAGACTGGGAAGGACGCAGGAACTTTCTCTGCGCTTCGCGAACGCGGCGAACTGCAAACTTATGACCCGGGGTAACCAGGGCTTCTGAGACTCAGTCTCTCTTAACTACCAGCACCTGTGAACAGGTGCGGTTCTGACTGGGCAGCCCGGGCCTAGTACCAACTAGCCCGGGGCTAGAAGAGATGTAGACCCCCTCGAGGGAACTTCGCAGCGGCCCTGCCCACGCTGCGCTGCCCTAGGCTAGTGGCTTCGAAGACCAAGCTGTGGTAGCCCTGCGGCGCACTTGGTGTTTTCTCTCCGCCCCGCCCGCACAGGGGCTCGCCTAGGTCTGATCCCTAACCCAGTGTTAAGTCATTTCCTTATCTATCTTGATGGGTCTTTGCAATAAATGGAGCAATAAAATTAGAGGAGCAGAAAGAGAAAATAGACAACTAGAAAAGTCACAAGTGTTTCGTGGAGAGGTGAGGGCGCAGGCTGTTTGGACTGCAGAGTTGTGGGGCCCAGACTGGGAGCGGCGCGGAGCGGGACCGGTTTTCCGGGGCTGGCAGCTGCCTCGAAAAAGTTTCCTGTGGAACACTCGCCAGCGGGGGCGGGGGCGGCGGGCTCAGCGGTGGATGTGGGAGGGGGCGGGCGCCGGGGGCCGGCTCGCAAACCGTTATAGTCCTTCAGCACCTCTCTCGCCCAGTGGCCCCCTCGCCCGCCTCCCCGCCGCGGGGCTGCCCACCTGGCGACGTGACGCTGCACCAATCCCCTTCGAGCTGCTCCCGGGCGCCCTCCTTGCACCGCCCCCCTCCCCACCCTGAAAGAGGCGCACCCTGCCGGGACAGACGCTGCGCTCTCGCCCTCGGAGCACCCTTCTCCCTCCTTGGTCTCCGGGACGGACGCTCAGATTCTTCTCTCGCCTTAGCCAGACTCGTTTTCCCGCCTCTCAAACTCCGGCTTCCCTCCACTCCTCGCTCTTTTCCCTCCACTTTCCCCTCCTCTTTCTCCCACGCCGCAAACCCTGGTCCCCGTTGCTTTCCCCGGCCCTTTCCCTTTCCCTTCTCCTCCTTCGACTTCTGTCCGCTTCCACCTCAGACTCTCCGAGCGTGCCTAACTCAGTCACCCGCTCCGGTTCCGCTCGAAGCCATGGCGGGACCTGGGGGTTGGAGGGACAAGGAGGTCACGGATCTGGGCCACTTGCCGGTGAGTAGAGGACGCCCGTCACCCCCGAAGTGCTCTCTTCTGCGAGTTCTGAGCATCGATGGAGGGGACAGACGTCCGAAAGCCTGGCTAGGCCAGGACTTCGATAAGACCGCGACTGCAGGAGGGGGCCCCGGGAGTGGGCTTGCGGGAAAGGCGCCCCCTGGGTACCCGGGATGCTCCAAACTCACGGAAAGGCAAAGGGCCGGGGGAAGAGGGATGGTGGGAAGAGGTGGCAGTAGGTTGGTGCGGGCCACAAACAGCGGGACCTTTTCTAAATGTGGCCTGTTTGGTCTAGCGGCGCTCGGGTACTTGTCCTAGCGGGGCCCAAGGAGAGGCCAAAGAGCACGACGACGCGTGGCTTCCTGAAAGCACACCTCTCTGTCACCCTGCCGCCCCGTCGTTTGCTTCTTCTTTTGCCAGAAGAGATGCCCACTCTCCGCGTGACCTTTCCTTCTAGGTGCCAGCGGGCCAGAAAATTAAGGCGTTGAAGTCTCACTTTCTAATAGCACTTTCTAAAACCTTCTTACTCTGCCAGGGCACTGGTCCTGATTTAGTATTGCTAGAACTAAAGAACTCGACGCCGCTTGGGGAAGAAGTGAATTCTGCACACCCCAATTAAAAAAAAAATGTATTGCGCTCACTTGCTAACCAGATTTAGCTTTTTCTCGTGGTTTTCGTTTGCGGATTCTCCTTTTCCCAAATGCCCAGCTTTCCTCCAGAGTTGTAATTGATTGGTGAGCTATTATCGCCGTCGTTGTTAGTAGACTTATTATTTTAGCAGCACCGTTTATTTCATTGGCATCTGGTTTCTGGCAGATATTGGATCCCACCCAAATCCATTTTTCAAGTTCCCGTTTTAGATTGGCATTTCACTCGCACCCTCTCTTGAATGCAAAGGGCCCCTGGACTCTCTCAAGGGAATAAGCATGCACCGTGCTGGAATGATCACCAGGCAACTGTAGTACAGGGCAGTGGCCTGCTTGCTTTGGGAAAAGCTAAATATTAACCTTGAGGTTATGGGACTATTCAAAGTAGCAGTGCCTTAATTTTATACATATTTACATTTAAATATTGTCTTCCTGATGATGGCAGACACCTGTCCCCCTCAAAAATTGGGCATTCCCCAAGCCTCACCTATATAATTTCACACTAAAACAATGTGGAAGAGGAGGTGATGCACATGGGTAACATTTTAGCAAGTTGTTCTCAGCCTTTTTTTTTTTTTTTTTTTTTATGGTACGCGGGCCTCTCACTGTTGTGGCCTCTCCCGTTGCGGAGCACAGGCTCCGGACGCGCAGGCTCAGCGGCCATGGCTCACGGGCCCAGCCGCTCCGCGGCATGTGGGATCCTCCCCGACAGGGCGCGAACCCGTGTCCCCTGCATCGGCAGGCGGACTCTCAACCACTGCGCCACCAGGGAAGCCCTCTCAGCCTTTTTTTTAAAGGACCCTCAATGTAAACGTGTTGAATTACAGATAATCAGCATTGTGGTTATTGATGCAGCCTCATAAAATAAAGTCACAGAATTTTTAAAAGTTAAATATTTTCCCACTCAGTGTATACATAAGATTTCTGGAATATGGAGGCCTCAATTGGTGGTTTCCTTTCTGAACAGCACTTTCATATTCTGACTAGATTTGCTCCCAAGTGTAAAACCAATGAATGAAATGTTACCCTCCTCCAACATTCTCTGTATACGGTGGGGGAAAGAGAAAAAAAAGAAAACTAGAGCAAATATGGAAACCACACATAGGCAAACTGAAATAAACTCTTTTTTAAATTGACTGAAGGGAGGAATGGGAAAGACCTCCTAGAAATGATAGAGCACGGAATTCCAAAAGCAAGGAGAAAAGGTTTGATTGCTGCAAAAAAAAAAATGGGGGGAAATGGCCCAGACTAACTGACCCGGTCATGGCCCTGGACATGAGAACTTGGTGAGAGCCAAGAAGATAAGGGGAAAGGCTACAATCTTTACACTGCAGCTCACTGAAATAGTTTTCTGGGGGTTGATGGGGGTGTGGAGGGGAGAAAGACGAGGTTAGTTTTTAATATAGGGATAGGGAGAAGACAAAATTTCAGGGCATTGATGTTTGGCCTCATTTTACAGACTTCATGAAAGTCTCGTAAGGTCCTCAACTTCTAACAATTTCTAAATTTCTATTACATAGGAGCTATTTTATATCATGGAGATCTTCACCATGTGAGCAAATTATGCATGTTTCCCCTCTTCCTGAACATACATCAGGGTCTAAACCCTAAGAAATCAAGCAGAAGAAGAGCACCCCCCTTTAGAATTTTTTTTTTTACATCAAATTTTTAGAGATGCAAAACATTCACTGTTGTTTTGGTCACTGAGGTATAGATTATTGATTTTGGATTTCTTTGCATTTGACTTATTTCCTAAGTTGCTGAAGAAATAAGAGCAAATGAAAAGGTCAAGAGATATCTAAGTTATCTGTTTGGAAGTTTGCATTTTGATGCAAAGTAGAGATGATAAACCAAGCAAAGAAACCTGCATATGGTGAGATCCCTTGTGATAATTATCCTCAATAGGATACATATGAGGTCAGAAAGTTGACATCTGTCAACACCAAGTATACCAACTTGGCAACAGCCAGATAATGAGGGGGGATTCAGACTTTGGAGTTTCACACTGAGCAAGAAAAGAATCTTGAAGAGTATAGAATGATTAAATATGGGTCTAGTTTAAGATTGATATATTATGTCCCTTCTAGGGCTGGCCAGCTAAATGATCACAAGACAAGGATCTTTGAAAGAGACCAAGCTGGCTGTGCAAATTGTGATTTAAAGAAAGTAGTAGAAAGTTATTTGGCATTTTTGTTATTAGATAGATATCTTTTAAGACCTAAAATATTAAACAATAGTGAAAGCTGGGGAAGCAGGGAGAGGGGAGAGAGAAATGTACTTTCTTTTTTGCATAATTCCCTAAAGTTAAAGACATAAAATAAAAGAGTAAACATAATAACCAGAGACTGCCAGGTGGGTAAGCTACATTTTCTTTGTTAATTAATGGGTTACTGTCATTTTTCCATTTTTCCGGACTTACAATTGAATAAACATTTCCTATAGGTGACAAAACAGAAAAGAAAGTACAGAGATTTGTGGTTTGTGCTTCCTTTTTGAAAAAGAGAATGGCAAAACCATATATATATATATATATATATATATATATATATAGTGACTGTCCCTGGGGCAGGAGGCAATGGGCATTGACAGGGAAGGTGTATGAGTGAACTTTCTGGAGTGATGAAAATGTCTGACAGCTTGATAAGGGGTTTGGGTTATACAGGTGGAAACATTTCTCCGGACTTCCCTGGTGGTCCAGTGGTTAAGAATCCATCTTGCAATGCAGGGGATGCCAGTTCGATCCCTGGTCGGGGAAACCAAGACCCCACATGCCATGGAGCAACTAAGCCTGATATATATATATATATATATAATCTGTGTGTGTTTCACATTATCTGCCAGTAGCAATACCTGGATATATATACATATATATATATATATGTAAGTTTTTTTCCCTACTATGCATATGTCACTCAATCCTTGGGACTGGAAACTATTTCTTCATCTCCAAATCTGGCATGTATTTCACTATGATAGTCCCCTTTGCCTTCTGTGCCCAGTATGGTAATGACATTCCTCACAACTCTGGCCTTGGTATTTGACACTGCCGTGTGTAGTCCTAATCTATATTGGGGTCAGGATTAGACAGGACTGGAGGACAGTAGTGGAAGAGGTGATCTGAAATAGTACATGATCCAAAAAACTATATTTGAATTACATTAGGTTTATATTTAAATATAACTGCCAGCTCTCCCAATCTTCCACCACCCAGACCAAGCCTGCTTTCCACACTCAGTCATGAGAAACTTTCACTTTCTCAAGTCCCTTAGCCCCCTATTTTGAATCAGTTTTACATTCTAGTCCACAAGGATTGAAATAGTCACCATATCCTCCACTAGGTATCCCAGAGCATCACCTCAAAATGACATTGTACTTCAATCAGCTTTCTCAGTCTTTTCCCCCTCAATGTCTAGAGCAGTGGGTTTTATGTTGGTGCACCAGAACAGTGCCCAAGAATGATCTTGGATCTTGAGACCCATCCACAGAAATTCTGGTTTCATAATTCCATGGTTGAGACAAGGAATCTGTATTTTTTTTTTTTTCAGTACGCGGGCCTCTCACTGTTCTGGCCTCTCCCATTGCAGAGCACAGGCTCCAGATGCACAGGCTCAGTGGCCATGGCTCACGGGCCTAGCCGCTCTGCGGCATGTGGGATCTTCCCGGACAGGGACACGAACCCGTGTCCCCTGCATTGGCAGGCGGACTCTGAACCACTGTGCCACCAGGGAAGCCCAGGAATCTGTATTTTAAAAAAGATTCTCCAGATTAGTCTCATGTAAGGAGAGTCTATGCAGTTCACAGTTTGAGAAACACTAGTCTAAAGGAAGAGATTGTCCTTTTAAAATTTTCCACTTGAATTGTGAAGCCCATTCCTCCAAATATCTCTGAAACTTACTCTGACACTTATTTTATTTTATCTGCCACTTTCAGGTTCTCTCTCCATAAACCATTTTCATAAAATCACATTTTCCAAAATTTAAAACAAAAGAACAACAGCCTCTGCTATTTCTAGGTACTGTGCAATCTCTTTTCTTCCTTTAGCTGTCTAACTACTGGAATGTGTTCTATGATTCTCTTTTACTGCCCTAAATCTGAAATGTATTGCTACCTATGATGAACATTTGTCATTTCCACTTTGTTCTTAATTTCTGCTGTATTTGGTCCTGTAGATCAGCCTTTGCTTTTGCGTCTCTTCCATGACCAGCAAACACTGCCTTCTAGTGGTTCTTTTTCTTCCTGTTACCCCCAACCCCCTGCCTTTAATAAAATTACCCATCAATGTTCCCATTTTCGCCCCTCTTCTTGAATTCAGAAGACAGAAACAACTCCCCAATTTCAGGATTTCAGGGGGAAGACTAGGACTTTTAAATTGCAAGAGTTAATTTAGATACATAGAAAAACATAACGAAGTATGGAGTATTTGCCCAAAATTTTATGGTTCAAAAATGTTTTAAAACTTAGACTTTTAGTAATATCTTTTGAGAAAAACTTTCACAAATTAAGTTTTCTTGTTAACTGACCATTCTTTTAACCAAATGGAACACCGGAACGTACTGAACCACCAAATATTCTCTAAATTGATATAGCAGTCATAAATATAAAGATCTTTCCTCTTCTGGTTTTCTTATCTCTGAGTAGCAGGGCAGAGGAGAAGACCAAGTAATCATAGAGACCCCCTTGGTGAGGACTTTAAATTTCACAGTGACCAAACAAAGTTGACTTCTCAATACTTCCTTCTTTGGGAGCCCAGAATAAGCTTTCTCTGACTATAATTCAGTGGAAAATCTGATACAAGAAATTGAGTAATATTACTCTAGTAATTAGCATAGTTCCCTTCCTCTTTTTGCCGAGTTTGACAATCATTTAGTCTTGAAAGAGATTAGTGTGGAGATGGAAACAAAAAATATTGCATAAAACTAATGAAAACAATAGTCTTAGATGAATACTAAAATGAGCTGCCTTTAAGAACAGAAAAAAAGTTTTTAAAACCTTTTTTATTAAATGTGAGCATGAGGAGAATTAAGATATTTTGGTCATTTGTGAGCAGGAAAAATTTTCCAAACAACATGAATATAGATAAAATAAGGCCTCCAAGAATTCCACCGGCATTTTGTTGTCCCGTTCATTTCCTTGGTGTCTTTTTTGAGTATGTAGATACCTGGGTTCAAATATGAGTAAAGTACTTATATTATTGAGGGCTAGGAAAAGGATTACAGAAATTAAAGACCGCGCTCAAAGATTCAGAAATAAACTTGTTCAGATAATACAGTAATTCTCTGATATATGATATAGGGGTTTTGTTTGTTTGTTTGTTCGTTTTTAGCTAAAATGCAGCCTCAACTATAACAAAGAATGGTTTACCGATAGGAATCAGCTAACATATTTGATTCTTTTGACAGATGACCAGAGATTGTTTCTCCAGAATTAATAATGTCTCATATAAATTCCTCAAAGATCTCCTTTAAAGAAATATGCTAAATTGATAAACTCTTCAAGCCAAACCTTAGGAACTTCTTTGTTGGCTTTTTCCCATAAATTTTTCAATGAATTATAACAGCAATGATATGCTTATTATCAAAGTCCACTATAACAATCTATTTTTAGTTTTCTTGAATCCTCAAAATTATCATTTTAAAAAAAATTTTGTATTTTCATTGGGAGTATGTTCCCTGAACTATTTTCCTACAGTAATACTGTGCATATTGTGACACTGATTTTAATGCTAATTTTAAGAAAGTAGGCTGCTAACAATTGTCATATCAGTGCATTGGAAACATCTGGATTTTAGAATGTCAGAATCTGATTTTTTTTTAAAGAATTTTAGAGCTAGGAAATCACTTAACACAGCACCTTTATTTTATATATGTGAAAACTGAGTCCCAGAGAGAGTAAATAACTTACACAAAGTCATATAGTTAATTAATGGCAGAACTGGGGCTATAACTTTAGTCTCCTGACTCTGTCCAGTTGAATACTTATTGACTGAAGTAATCCTAGAGCTGTGTCATTTTCCTATGACACTTTTGCTAGATTACACAAATATCACACCAGTTTAAAGGAATCTATAATTTGCCATATACATTGCATTTGCTCAATAGCTTTTCTGTTTAGCTCACATATTTCACAGTGATAAAAATATTTTTAAACAAAGTTATACAAAGTTTGTATATATAAAATGTGCTTTCTGTAAGGCATGTGAATTTCTAAGAATTTGCCAGTGCTCCTATTACAATGCATAAATTGGCATCTACCCATACTTCATATCTCTTTTGCTAAAATAGCAAAATAAGCTGCTAGAGTAAGAGTTTAAATAGTGATAAAATTCAAGAAACCATGTTTTGTGGTGAACAAGAAATGAATATCCATATTTTAAGGTAAGGAAACAATGTTTAAGGATAAATATGGAAGCCTTAGGAATCTGCTGATATGTTATATTGTCTAGTTTTTTTAAAAAATGATGCTCTTTTAATACCATGATGTTATTTTGTTATTTATATTTAGAGGCAATATTCTTTCTTAAGAATTACTATTATATAAACAATCTAGACTTTGTAGCCAGTACCTACTCATCATTACATATCTACTCAATATTACCATTGCCATATGGTAAACTTTCTGCCTGTCTGGTTAGCACTCAAAAGATGGATATCAAAAGAGTATTTCAATTGCAAGTAAATTAATTTATTTCTACTTTTAATAGCCTTTCTAATTAACTTATGAATATGCCTCAACTAGACATAATTGTATGCATTTTACAGTTTTATGATAATTATACAATTAATGTTCACACCATTGCTTCTTTTTTATAAATGACTACACTCAGTCCAGGGAGATTGTGACAACACTAGTCTTTTGGTAAATAACACTTAGGTTCTTCCCATGGAAATTCTAAGGGAACAAGGCAGATTAGGACTGCCACTCTAGATAATTTAATGCTTGGCTGTTTTTCCAAGAAAATTGAAAAGTTTTATCCTACATTTTTGCAGGATCCCACTGGAATATTCTCACTGGATAAAACCATTGGCCTTGGTACTTATGGCAGAATCTATTTGGTAAGTGGAGTTACATTAGGTATTCATTCTGCATTTTCTAATAACAAGGGTGATTGTTAAGTCGAAACCCTACACTGCAAATCAAATAATGCCAAAACACATTTCACTTTGAGAGAACAATTAAATTAAGGTAGCTCAGTGACAACTGTGAGAATTATTACAAAAAAATGGATTGGAAAGCTATAGTGAACCAACCAACAAAACATAAGATCTACGCATTATTAGCAGAAAATTAATAAAATCACAAAGGAAAAGAGAACTAATTCAAATAATATGTACCCAAATAAAAATATCACTTTTTGATATTATATGTCCATACCATTCTAATTACTGACATTCAACTTTTAAGCTGAATGTTACAAAAAGTTTCCATAGCATTCTATATCATACTATGTACATGAATGTGCACATGTATGTGATAGCTTCCCAAATAATCTAACAAGAAAATCTCTGCATTTGTTTAATGATATTTATTAAGCATAAAATATATGCCAGGCACTGTGACAGTCTTAAGTGGTGAACAAAACAGATAGTCCCTACTCTTCCAGGATTTATGATCTAGAAATATGTAAGTGATTAAATGTGTGTATTTGTGTGTGGGTGCGTGGGGGCTTGGAGGAGGCAAATATATAAGTAAGCACATGAATAACTATATAATTGCAATTGTAATATATTTCTGTAAGAAAATTCATAGTGATATAAAAGTAAAGAACAGGGGGGCTTAATTTAGATTGAAAGTCAGGCTCCCTGGGGGAATCACTGGTAAAATGACATCAGGAGGACAAATATGAGATAACCAAGCAAAGGTATGGTTGTAGAGGATGATATTGATTCATTCTAGGTAGAGCAGGGGCAGTGGTAAGGGCTGGATTGGAGATGGGGGGTGCTTTAGTGGCCCTATCACCTTGATCAGGTGCCCTTCCCTCACTCTCTAATATGGTGAAGAGACATTTTCTCAACCTTGTATAATGTTATGTACAAATGCAGGGTTCCTCTTCCCCAGGAATGTCCCTCAAAAACCAGATCACTGTCCCTAGGCTGATCCTTACTGTCGACTGACCACTGGTCCTCTACGTATGGTTTGTGTAGAAGTGTCTTGAAATGGGTCCAGTGGAAGGGGCTTCTTTCTAGTTCAGACAAAGGTGCCCTCTGCCTGCCAAGCCTTGTAACCTTAGGGCTGCATCTGCCCAGAAGTAGCTTATTTTTAAAATTCATGTACCCAGGTAGGGTGGGGAGATCTTTAAAAGTTGCACAAATGTGCCTAAAGCACAGACGTTGAGTAGGAGAAATAGCATTGTGGAAGGATCCTAAAAGCAGAAAGAACCTTGGTGAGTATAAGGAACAGAGAGAGTGTCAATATTCATGGCAAAAGTTTTTTCAAGCCATTTTGACCTGACCTATTAACAGAAACAATAAGCTATAGACGGAAATGTGATACAGACACAAATATATTGTTTCTGTTACTTCAATTGCATTCTAGACTGAATGATTAGTTAACATTTGTGTGATCTAAGCAAATTTTGACACTTTGTGCATAGATACCTACACCTTATAATAGAAGTTTCTCTTCTTTATGGCACATTTATAATCTCCATGGCTCCACACACATTTTAATTCCTGAGGGGTGTGTAGTTAAGTGTGTGTGTGTGCGTGTGTATACTTGGCTTGATTTGAAGGTAGGAAAGCGTGAAGTAGTATCCACCATCAGATATTAGGAATAAAAACCTCAGTTATATAAGGCAAAAAGCAAAGGTAAGGCTAGATAACACAAAAAGATGGTTTCTCATCAGCAGTCATCAGAATTGTGATGCCATAAGAAGAAGAGTCAAGAGGGTAAAAAGGTGAGTTGTGCATGATAATTCTCTTTTTTAAAAAACTAGGGCTTAGGGGACTTCCCTGGCAGTCCAGTGGTTAGGACTTTGCCTTCCAATTCAGGGGGTGTGGGTTCGATCCCTGGTTGGGGAGCTAAGATCCCACATGCCTTGTGGCTAAAAAAACCCAAAACAGAAAACAGAAGCAATATTGTAACAAATACAATAAAGACATTTAAAATGGTCCACATCAAAAAAATCTTTAAAAAAATAAATAAACTATGGCTTATTTAGGTATAGTTTACACTTGGTAAATTCATCCTTTTAAGTGTAGAATTTTATGAGTTTGGACAAACATGTCCAGACATGTAACTACCACCACAATCAAGATTTTTCAATATATATCTTAAATTACACAGTATACCTTCAAGTAATATTCTACCACTTCACTGTGTGGTGTCCTAGTTTGGGTACTATGCTTATGGTTGTTATACATTTTGCTCTTACGTATGATATGAACCTACACTACTACTACTATTTTCCCTCTACTCAATAGACTACTTTTTCTTTAGTCAGTTATCTTTTAGAGCAATTTAAAAAGAAGAAAAATTTATATTTATACTCATTTGAGCTATTTCTGGAATCTTCATTTCGTTGGGTAAATCCAAGTTTCTATCATCTGGGTACGATACTCTTTAAGCTTGAAGAACTTCCTCTAAAGTTTCTTATAGTGCAGGGCTTCTGGTAATGAAGTCTCTGCTTTAGTGTGAGAAGTCCTTACTTCTCCTTCATTTATAAAAGATATTTACACTTGATATAGAATTTGGGGTTGACAGTTACTGTATTTTCTTTCAGCACTTTACAGATAACACTCTATTGTCTTCTGGCTTGCATAGTTTCTGAAGTCTGTTGTCATTTTCTTTCCTCCTTCTATCTTCTGGCTGCCTTTAAGATTTTTCTCATCTTTGTTTTTCAGCAGTTTAAATATGAAATGTCTAGGGGTTTTGTTTTTATTGTGTGTGTGTGTGTGTGTGTGTGTGTGTGTGTGTGTGTGTGTGTGTGTGTGTGTTTGGTGGGGTATTTACCATCCTCGGGTTTCTCTGAGCTTCTTCCTTGTGCTTCTGTGCTTCAGATTCTCGCTCAATGCTCTCCTGCCTCCCCTAGTGGTATACTGCTATCGCTTCTTTAAGTGCTCGTTAGCCTGATGGTGTGGGGCAGGGAGGAGTTCTCTGTTTTCCTGATTCAACCCCAGTCTTAGGCAGATACTGTGCTTCTAGGTCATGAGAGTGAGACTTTCTTACTTACCCTGCCCCTCTATTAGTGGTAAAACATCCTAAATGTTTTGGACCCAGGACTAATTCCTGCGCTACCCCCCAGAAATAGAGGAGTGAATTTTTTTTTTACATTTCCCCCAGCTATATCAGGTCTTCCTCTGCACCCTGCGGGGAATAGGGTTTGATGCCCTTCCCCTAAGGCTTAGGGCTTTTATTCCATGGGGGGCGGAGAGAGAAATTGCACATGGTTTCATGCTTTTCCTACTGCAAGGGCTTCTTCTCTCCATCAGGTCAGTACCAGAAATCTGTGGAGAAAAGCTTATGACTGTGCATGTATTCCTCTTGTATCTGTGGCTCATGAGAGTACTGTACTCTTATGTTAGCCCATACTTGGCCTTTAGCAGTTCATTAAAAATTCAGCAGAATTCTTTTTTTTTTAATTTTAATTTTTTATTGAAACAGTTGATCAACAATGTTGTGTTAGTTTCAGGTGTACAGCAAAGTGATTCAGTTATACATATACACATAGCTATTCTTTTTAAAATTATTTTCCCATTTAGGTTACTTCAGAATATTGAACAGTGTTCCCTGTGCTATACAGTAGGTCCTTATTGGTTATCTATTTTAAATATAGCAGTGTGTACATGTCAGTCCCAAACTCCCAATCTGTCCCTCCCCTCCACGCTCCCCCCACTGGTAACCATAAGTTCATTTTCTATGTCTGTGAGTCTGTTTCTGTTTTGTAAATAATTTCATTTGTATCATTTTTTTTAGATTCTGCATATAAGTGATATCATGTGATATTTGTCTTTCTCTGTCTGACTTACTTCACTTAGTATGATAATCTCCAGGGCCATCCATGTTCAGCAGAATTCTTTATACCAGCTTCTGTGTGATCCTGTCTTCCCTTTGTAGCCACAGGTGAGCCAGTGCTCATGTCCCATCTCTTCCTGCAAGTGCCTGTCTTTTTTCAGACTTCAGGCTGGCTGGTTGCCTTGAGACTTCTCTCTGGGTTGAAGAAAAGTAATGATTTCGTAGGTTATTCATGCTTTGATTGTTGTTAGGGTGGAGGTGGCACTCCTTTCAGCTTTCCACATCTTCATCAGGAGCCAGAAGTCCATGTCAAATTGAATCTTCATGAAGCATCTACTATATGCTAGGTCCTGTACACATTTATAATTCCTAAGACTTTTATATGTACCTATTCACATCCAGAGATAGAGAACACTTCCTACCATCAGATCTTCAAACTAGAAACCTCTGTGTTACAGAAGGTGAATGATTACAGATGCTTTATTTACCTTAGACAGATTTTCCTTTGTCACTCATTGATGTGACCTCTTTTTTCTCCCTCAAATTTATTTCCTCCTGTAAAAATTTTTGGGATGGTGGCACTTTATATAAATACCTCCTTCATGGAAAACAACCTTGAGTATGTAGTAAATGCTTTTAAAATGTTCATACTCTTTATACCAATAATTCCGCTTCTGGAAATCTATGATAAACACAAAAATATAGAAAAAGCATATATTCATTTAGCAGAAAGGTGGCATTTTGTGGTGAAAAGTGGACCTGATTTGTAACGAGACAGACCTAATTCAGCGCTTACTTGGCCATTAATTAGCTATGACCTTGAGCAAGTCCCTTAACTTCTAAGTATAAATTTCCTTATTTATAAAATGGAGCTAATAATACCTACCTTGCAAGATTTTATAAAATTTAAAAACAATGCATATAAAGCACTTGGCACATGGTAGCTATCTTTAAAAGATAGCTACTGATATCATTATTACTGTTCCTATTACTTGTAGGAAGACAAATTCAGCAAAGCACTAAATAGTAAAAAATTAGATGAAGTAAATTATCTTAACTCAGTTAATATATTATTTCTCTGAAAAGCAATGTTTATGAAGGT